TAGAACACTACTTCATAATCATCATTGATCAAAAAGTCTCACAATGACAAGTGTTAGCATGAATGATAAGCATCAGGAATTCTAATACATAGCTGGTGGAAAAATAAATTGGTACAACCAGTAAAGTTGAAGACCTCTTCAGAAATGTATACTTATACACATTAGAATCCATGTATAATGATGGTCATAACATTGTCTGTAACTGGCAAAAGTTGGAAACAACACAGATATCCACCAACAATAGTGTGGATATATAAATGAACATATATTCCATTCAAATGCAACATGCAAAAAGATAACTGAGTGTTTTACTCTTTGCAACGTATTCCTCCTCCACATTTCTCACCCAGTTATCCAAATTATGTCAGAGCTTCTCTTTCCAAACATCACCTTTACATTATTTATATATGGGATATTTATTATATATGGTATATACCCCATAAGAATCTACACTTTTAATATCTCTGGAACTTTGTTTCTTTCCCCATCTCCAATAACTTCTTAATTTTGGCCCTCGTCATTTCTCACCCAGAAATCTTCTTTGCCTCTAGTCCTATCCCCATTGCAAACTGATGCTCTACATGCTGCTAGAGCTATCATTTTCAAAATTTTGTGATCATATAAAACCCTTCCACTTGGATGAAGTGGAATAAAAATAATAGTTACAATTTACTAGCCATCTACTATATATCAGGCATTATCTCATTTATCCTTATAATGCTGCAAAATGGGTATTGCTATATCTATTTTATAGAGGAGGCAACCAAAGCTCAGAAAGGGGTAAGTAATTTACCCAAATTCACATAGCTAATAAGTGGACAAGGCAAGATTGAATTTCAGGGTGTTTCAGTTGCAAAGTCTTTGCTTTTAATCAATACATTATTCTGACTAAACTCCTAAGCATGGCACATGAAGTTCCACATGATCTGACCTTAGCCTCCTCCCCAGCTTGACCTCCTGTCCCTCTGTTCCACTTAGGGATAGCAAATATTGCCTATCTATTCTCTCCTTCTTCCTTACCAATAACCTCTCTTTTCTTCCGGACAGGAATATGCTCAGCTAAAAACTATTTTTCCTGGCCTTCCTGGAATGAGATTACTATTCACATAGTTCTGATGAAAGAGATGTAAAAAGAAATCTCTGGGTGGGGTTTCTGAGAAAGCTCTTTAAAAGAGGTCAAAGGAAGCTGGCATGCACCCGTTTTTCTTCCTTTCTGGAAAACAGCACTGTAGGTGATCAGCCCTCTTAAAGCCATGAGATACACAAGTGAACACGAAAGTCCCATAGTTCGGAAGAGAGAATATAAAATTAGGAGATCACGTCCATAATGGCATGACCCACCCAGGACTGCCTATCTATAGGCTGATGTGTTTATTTGCTGTATTTTCCTATTCATAGTTAATCATTGTTGTAACTGACACATACCCTAAGTTGAGGCCTTACTGATCAACTTGCAATTTCCTCAATATAACATGATTTGGCACTTTCTGTAGAGGCAGGCGGCCGGCAATTAAGATACATATGTAAATCAGTCTCTTTAATTTTTAAAAGAAAAGCAGGCATTCTCCAGGTTTAACCAGAGAAGTTCTAAACGGTTTATCTATTTTATATATTTAGGATTTTTATAAGTGTTTGTTTGAAGGGTTCTACCTCAAAAGTGGATTGAAAACCACTGGTCTCTGGCACAACTTAACTGTCACTGAAATTTCTCTTTGTATTAGGTCAAATGACCACAAATCTCAAACAAATCTATTCTGCAAAGTTTAATTGTGCAAGTATGCTTAAATACTGTTCTCTCAGCTTTCACTCAGAGCCAACATGTGGAACAGTCTGAATATCTGTGAAACTGGCATGTAGGACATTGTGCATCATTTGGCATTTTACACGAAGGTTCTGGCAGCATATTCCCCATATCACTCAGGGCCAGAAAAAAGTCTGTTTTCTTCCTGAGGAACTGATACATTTACTAGCACTAGGATGTGAGCCATGTAACCCGTTATGTTTTCCTTTTATTCTTCACAGCTAGTTCATTAAGGTTTTGTTCCATATCAGTGGCTTTCTTCAGCTAACACCTTTTTACTTTTTAGAGCCTATCTTTTGATATTCTAGTTAATTATTTGGATTATTGTGCCAATACATTTATTAAAAGCTGTCCCAAATTATTTTTTAGAAGTAGGCAAGTTATTTTTAAAAAATCAAACCTTAAAGGGAAAAAAAGTATTACTCTTCTAAGATCAATAAAACCCATATATGCAGATAGCCTTAGATTAATCATTCTTTATTGCATTTATTAATCATGCTTTATTGCATTCTTTATTGTTATTTTCTATCCAAGATACTATAATACAATTAAAGGCGTGTTGTGAGAGGCAATCCTCGAGGTCCCTGCACGCTGCTGCTGGGTAAGCAAGACAACGCACTGACCACTCTTCTGCCAGGCCATTTCTCAGGATCACATTTGCAGGGAGCAACTTTGAAGGATGCGGTAGCATCTCCTTCCGGACAAACAGTGAGTTTGCTTTCATTTACTATAAAAGCAGTGGATTCCTCAAGCTCAATATTCCTCAGCTGTGACCCAAACCCACTGCACGTATAAGATCCAACTGGGCCCCAACGTGTCACCCCTGTGGGACTTGGAAGGCATGAGGAGCCAATGCCAACATGATGCTCATGCTATTTGCTGTGCCATACATAATAAAATTTCTGACTCAGGAGACACATGTCTTCTGCCAGCATCCATAATAGGAACAGGCTAACTTGTAGGTAGGTATAATCCCAGACCCTGACAAAGTGTTAATTCAAAAGAAATTAGCTGATCATTCAAAGTTTGAAAGCAGGTTTGAATTACATCCTTTGTAACTCAGAAAAATTTCTATAGACATACCAAATTAATGAAGATGACAGAGAAAGGCCAATTAAAATAACGGTTTAAAATAACAGAATGTCCTCAAAGAGGCCATTAAAGAACTGTTGAGGTTCTGACATTTTAAAGATGAAAACCTTGTTTTGCTGTCTCTATATATCAAAAAATTGAGGAGATTCAAATTGTTTAAGATAAAGAGGCCAGGCCCATTATCACTCTATGAGTAACTAAAAACAATTAAGAGAAACAGGAAAATATGATAAACTGAGTTATGCAGGACAACTGAGCATTCTCTCAAGAAACCTATGTGTAGAGTTAATACAAAGCTTTACTTTACATATAAACTACAACACTGTGAAAGTTAAAAACAAAAAACCATTTTCTTAGAAGGGGAAAAAACTCATACTGTAGGTACTAAAAGTATAATGTGTTAATAAATGATATATTTCTGAATAAATATAGAAATAAACTAAACTTTCATTCAATGTAAGCATCAACATAAAAACTCTACAACCTTTTTAATTTTTAGTTTTAATAAAAACAAATTCCTGTCTGGACAAGAAAATTTCCGATGTTATTCAGCAACTCAGCATACCCCGACCCTCTGCAACTCCCAACCACTCCTAACAAAAGGTAGTATCCGAAATGTGGCTAACTAGAATTGCATGCAATTCACGTTACCAATTCAGAAAACTGAGTGAGAAATAGGTGACAGCAAAGTGTCCAGAAAACTTAAGGCTCTGTACCCAAGGACGCTATTGAAACCTTTAACATAAAAAAATGACAGTTCTCTAGAAACATCATCTATTTTAAAGACTAATTCAGAAGTAAATACAAAGTAAGACAGCAGATTGGAAGAATACACTGAAAGGAGTTGACAACAAAGGAAAGCAGTTATAAAAAGCAGGAAAAAATAATTACAAAAGGACAACTGTGTGCAATCATTTAGACAAAGTAACTTAAGGTAAAATGCCAATTGTGGCATCACTATTTTTGAACACGGTATATCACCAAAGGCATTCACTATTTTACATAGCCATCATTATATTATATGAGAGAAGTGTGGATGAAGCTGTTAAATGACCTAACCAAGACTGTACAGGGTGCAGGAGAACAGAGATTTTATTTATTTTTTTAAAAATGTAACGCTATTTTATTTTACTTATTTTGTAATCCCTAAAGAAATTTTAGAAAATTGTTCTGATAAATCAATAACAAAATGACATCCCTGTTGTCACTGTACTGATTAGAAAAAATAAAAATAATTGATCAAATATATATTTGACAATTTGCTAGGGTATTTTGTTAGCAAACATTCCAGATTTATGCATTTCATGTAGCCAAAATTGCAAATTTAATTTTGAAAAAGTGAAATACCATTTAGTTCTACTGCTTATAACCATATGAAATAATCTATAAATTAAAAGTATTTAAGGTTAAAAAGCTTACTGGTGATAAAGGAATGAGGTAATCAAGTTTAGGTATAAAAAAAGGAATGTATTCTAACAAACCTGTGTTTGGGCAAAGAGTGATATTTTGGGGTTAAAATACTTTATACATAATTAATCAAAATTGAGTGTATTTCCACTTTTGAAGTAAAGCTCTCCTTTTAGCAATATAAACTTTGTTCATATTTAAGAGAAATTTGTCATGCTTGAAACTTTTAAAATATTTTCCATCAAGTAAATGATCTGCCTTAGTATATATTTGTGCACTGGGGTAGCGGGAGTTTGCAGAAGGTCATTTCAAATACTGGAAGCAAACTTAGGGCAAAGGGTCCATACCATTGGTACCTCATCTTACTACCAAGAATTCCTTTGTATTTCTTCACTCCCTCATGGGCCTATTGTCTTAAAAGACTTCACATGCATTAATTTATTAATTAAAATGGTCAAATTAAGACATTAAGATGAAACTCTCAGAGCTTCTAGTAAGCATGAAAAGCATGGAATAACCAGTGCTACCCCAGTGTACTGATAAAACCCAGAAAAAGCAGAGACTAGATGTTTAACCTAGCCACTGTTCAACAGGTCAGTGGGGGTAATGAGAACATTTCATTCAGAGTTCGATAAAACACCACGAATACCAATTAGTAAAAAGACGGCATTTTAAAATTGAGTTAATAAAGGGCATTCACCACATGGGTTGACTGTAGAGCTAAGTGAAGCAGCTCCAGTGGAAAGGCCGCCTTTTGAAACTGATGGAGCCACAGACGGTACAGATGATGAAGTTGGTGTAGTAGAGGAGGCTGTTGAGGATGGTAATCGTTCTCCAGACTCCATATCTATGAGAGGGAGAAAAATGTTAATTCTCGGTCTTATCTTGGAGAGTGGAATTATTGAAAAGAATTACACATATTTAAAATAAGTCAAACTTTTAGGCAGAGTTTTTAAAAATATGAAATAAGTTTAGAAATATATATTCTTTAGAAAGATAAAATACAGAATAAATAACACAGTATACCAATTTATGAAAGTTTAATGTTAAGTATACCAAATCCTCTTCTAATAGACTGGCAGTGTTTCCTTATATGAAAATAAAAATTAATAGTGGTTTGAACATAGTAACTTTACACATATGTGTGTTGCCCCAGCCTTAGGAAAATTAACATATTAATCTCTTATTCTTCCTAAATCAACTCATCATCTATTCACTTACAACAAAATACCCATGTTATCTTAATGAATCAAGAAATACCACCACATTTGAATGGACTATAACCCTGTCTTCTAAACTGAGATAGCAATGTGATGGTAGGTCTTAAGCATGCAAGAATCCGACCTGGTAATTAATCTCCAATACAGTGAGCTCCCCCTAAAGACAAATATATTTTAGAGTTTTTACCACAGTCATATTTAAACAATGGTCTCAAAATGGCCTTAGTATGACCCATTTATAACAACTGAACTACTTCTAAGCATCTTTATTAATTTGCTTAGCTATTTGGGTACAATCTTACATTGGTCTTACTGTAATAGTTTATATTGATACTAAAAATCTAGAATAGAAATGAGTGAAAGAGGTCAAAAGGTACAAACTTCCAGTTGTAAAATAAATAAGTCATGGGATATAATGTACAGCATGGTGTACACATTGTATATGTTAAAGTTGCTAAGAGAGTAGATCTTAAAAGATATCAGTGTGAGAAAAAAATTTGTAACTACGTGTGGTGATGGATGTTAACTAGACTTATTGTGGCGATCACTTCGCAATATATACAAATACTAAATCATGTTGTGCACCTGAAACTAATAAAATGTTCTATATCAATTATATCTCAATGAAAAAATTGTTTTAAATCTAGAATAGGTTGGTCATTTTAAAACTCTCTGTATATACTGATCACACAATTAAGCAAGGAAATCATGAAATTAACAGTTGCTTTAAGGAGTACACAAGTTATAGTATGAAACAAAAAAATATATTGCTCAGTTATAAATGAACTTACGATCAACCACAAGTATACTTTCACCATTTAAATAATCTAACCATAAAAAGATTTCTAGGGGCCAGCCCGGTGGCGCAGCGGTTAAGTTTGCACGTTCCGCTCCTCAGCGGCCCGGGGTTCACCAGTTCGGATCCTTGGTGCAGACATGGCACTGCTTGGCAAGTCATGCTGTGGTAGGTGTCCCATATATAAAGTAGAGGAAGATGGGCATGGATGTTAGCTCAGGGCCAGTCTTCCTCAGCAAAAAGAGAAGGATTGGCAGTAGTTAGCTCAGGGCTAATCTTCCTCAAAAAAAAAAAAAAGATTTCTGTATGCAATTCTACAGCCAATTCATGTAATTACTATATATTTTCTAAGAAGAATAGTTTGATTTCATTTAAAAATATTGACCAATTAAAATAATGCAAGATTAATGTTTAAATGTTGATTGAATCCATATGGTATGTAGATGATTTTTCTCATAAACTAGATACATATGGTAAAGGTAATCTCAGGTTCACACATAGCATCATTAGTAAGACTGTTTCAAAGAGTTTTCTAATCACATACAATTTAAAACCTTTTCTTCATATTCTGATATTGCTGTCAATCATCTCTATAGATGATGGCACTACTATAATGAGTGTGTCCACATTCTCACTGAACTTTTCTTTCTCTTCATCATGGACTCATCATGGAAAGGCATAGTTGGTGCTGATGGCTACCTGGAACTAATGCTTAAAGGGCAGTTTTGGGTCATCAAACAGTCATTAATGAGCTTTGAAACAAGTGGCTGTCTGATGGCAAGGCCCATGGCTGACATCTTTCCCTACAAACTATTTTCACCAGCAAGCCTTATTTCACTAAACAGAAAAAAAAGTAGATTCTTTACCTAGATAGAGTTTACCGAAAAAAGGCTATATTAAAGAATTTATACCTGGTAAACTCATTGTCTCAAAGAATTCTAATATGTACTATTTAAATATATTATTATTTTTTTAAATAATGGGAAGTTTAAAAAAAATTTTGATTTTGTACTCCACAGCAAAAATAATTTGATGACATAATATAGCTAAGTACTTTAGCTGAGTACCTGGCATATAAGAACTTAATAAATAATAGTCATTACTTTTATAGGATAATAAGTTATGAACTCTAAGTTTACTTCTTTCTGTTGATATAACTTGATTCAGGGCTAAAGTAAGGAAAACCTAGAAGGCAAAATGAGCAGTCTGTAATATATTGCTCAATGGAGACTATTTGTCCTGGAAATATTTATTAAAATTAAAAATATACATATACTTAGATCTTGCAATCTACTTTTGAGAATCTATTCTGTAGAAATAAAGTAGCAGTAAATTCTTTATAACATTATTTAAAAATAAAATAAAATTTAAACCTGGCAATAAGAAAGAGTGGAACTAGAACTAGTAGTGTGAGGTTGGGGGCCTTTTTTAGCTTCAGTAAAAGCGCAGTTTTATTATTCTTTGTTCTCTTTGTTTATTTAAGTGGGAAGGGGTTTAACTCTTTCTAAAAAATATGCTCATGTAGCTATTTTCCTTAGAAGTATACTATATACATTATTCTTGCATTACTTTAACTATTTTAATCTTAGATACATATTTTTAGCTAGTATGATCTCTTAGGTGGCTGAGTATTCTCTTTTTACGTAAAGTACTCTTTTACACTGGGCGTGAGTTAAAATATTTTTTTCGTGTTTTAATGGGTATTTCTTAGTTCTAGTAACCCAAAATTTGGTCAACTACTCCATGTTCATCTTATATATATATCCTTCTCATTTTAAAGAAATTTAACAAATCCACTCTAGCCTTTGCTACCCTAGGATTGATATTATTTCATGCTTCATTTAAGAAGGATTGGCTTTTCAAAATTTTCTTTTTAAGCTAAATACTATTAGATTTTATTTAGCATTGCCCCCTGCTGAAGCACAAGCATAGCTCTGGAAGGAATCTTAGCCATCAACTAGAAAGTTAAAAGATAAGAAGAAAATCCACAAAACAATGATCAGATTGCCATACTGTGAGAACTATTCAAAGATGGTTTAAAATATATGTGCATCAAGGAATGCTAAACTAGTAGATGAAAGTTTGAAGAGAAACAAGACATTTGCAGGGTCTCAAAGTATCTCCTCCAAAATATTTACTAATTAAAAAGGGAAAAAGAGTAACTTCACAGTGGAGAAACTGTATCACCTGTAATAAAACATATTGTTATCATGTATCCTCCGATCCCTTAGAAAGGCATACCACTTCTGTGGTATTCTTCTCAATAACATGTAACCTCATTCAAATCATGAGAAAACATCAGACAAACCCAAAGTGAGAGCCCATATACAAAATAAATGACAAGTATTCATCAAGGGTCAAGGTCATGAAAGAAAAGGAAAGACTAAGGAAGTGTCATAGGTTGGAGACTAAGGAGATACAACTAAATGTGATGTGGAATCCTAGGCTAGATTTTGGAACAGAAAAAGGACATAAATGGAAAAACTGGTGAAATTCTGTAGTTTAGTTAACAGTCTGTAGTTTAGTTAATAAGGTCCGTAATTTAATAAGGTCGGTAATTTAGTTAATAGTATTGTACCAATGTCAATTTCTAATTTTGATAATTTTGATAATTGTACTATGGTTATACAAGTTGCTAAAATTAGGGGAAGCTGGGTAAAAAATTGTGAACTCTGTTTTCGTGACTGTTTTTTGAATCTAAAATTATTTTAAAAGAAAAACAAAAAACACAGTTTGGCACATAGTAAGCACTCAAAAAAATACATGTAAACTGGAGTTGAAGTGTATAAACCTAAACCTTGAAGAAACGAAGATTCAGATTACATTGTGTCAGCAAGGTACGTGATAACAAGTGTTATCGGGGTTCAAAAGGTGTCTGGAGCTTAGCTGTGACCATGTACAAATTACGTAACTTCAGTGACCTTCCAATTTCCTCATGAGTGATACGAAGCTGTAGTTGGGAGGATTAAATGAGCTAATGTATGTAAAGTGCTGAGTACCTAGCATTTAAAAATTGTCGGCTATTGTTTTTAATAAATGAATGAACGTCTGTGTGTATAATTACCCATGTGTATGTGTGGCAGTAAAAGAAATCTTAAGGTATTTTTAGATTATTAATTTCAAGTAAATATTTCAGTCATATCTATTTATAGGTTAATGTATATGCTTGGCATGGTATTACATTTTTTAGCCTGATAGATTGTGTGCTAAGAATTAAAAATAAAGGCCTTATGATTGCATGAGTATCAACAGTAGGGTGTTTTACCTTAAAACTTTCAAAATAAGCTGGAACACAAATTTAGATGCAAAATACATTAATTTTCAGTTGAAAAAATACAATTATGATTACATGAGTTACTCATTATTCAAGCATACTACATAAAAATTGATAGAAACTCATTTATTCAGATCATTTAAGAAAAATGTATTCATTAAAATAAAAACAGTTTAGGTACCAAAAACCATCTATTTCCAGATTTCTGTTATAGCCAGAGCATCCAGACCTGATACTCGCACTCCTATAACAGCCTCTCATTCTGACCCTCATTTGTTAAGAATACCACCTTCACTTCAGGTTCCAAATCGCGACCAACCAACCGATCCTTTGTGGACAAAAACAGTCCAGATACTACAAGATCAAAACGAATGGACTATAATAACATGACTCCCCCATCTACCACCCACTCATCTATGGAAGATTATTAATTAGTAGCTATGTCTCTTAGTTTAAGGCCATTTATGAGAGTATAGTTTCTAATGTATGACTTAGGAATTCTCTATTTACAAAGTTAACCAGGTAGGATAAAGATTACTTTAACTGAAAATTAACAT